ATTTTGTTTTTAACTCAAATCATTGTGTATTTAACTCGAATTTTGCTACAGTAGGCTCTGTTCTTAACTATGGGTTGTCCATAAACTGGGCATTCTTAACCTGGGGGCTACCTCTGTCTGTCTGTCCATCCATCCCATCCCTGGCTTGTGATCTTTCCAGAAAGCTTTACTTATAATTAGGTAATTTTGATATAATGAAAACTAACACCTTTGATTTGGCTCCAGTCTGTTTGCACATGATGCTAACCCATAATATATTTGATCTGGGTTTATGTATTATGCATGACTTCACCCATTTTGGTTTATAAGCCATGATTAAAGCATGCTATGTTTTAACATAATAAATTGGTGCAGAAGCTCTTATAAGGATTGCTAATTAGTAATTATTATTTATTCTGAACGCCATGATAGGACTAGAGTATACGGTTAAATGCATAGAGAAATAATGTATATACCCCCTTCAGTGAGTACTCTCAGGATGCAAAGTAGGAAAGAGTTCAGGACTCAGAGAAAAATAAGGAAGCCAAAGTTCCATGTCTGTTCAAAGGAAAGTTTGGGGAGAAGGGAATGAAACGGTAGTTCATCTTCCTGACATGAATGAAGAAGACTCTTGTGTTTGGTGGAATGGTTGTCCATAGAGGGTACATAATTAAACTGTACTTGGTCCCTGTTGGACAGGACTCTGCCATCTTGTTTCTTTCTCTCTTTCAATCAAATGGAATGGCCATTGATAGAAAACAGTCGTAGGAAATGAGAAGGTGAACGTATCACCTGGACAATGCAGTGGTCTTAATCCACTGTAAACATTTTTTAGTCTCCATGCTATTGGGTTCTCAAAACGTTTTATGAGTCACACATGATTACCTAGCTGTTCAAAGCACATCAAAATAATTTCCTCCCTCCAGCTGCCTTCAACTTCCTGTTTCATTCTACAGTTAAACTTGTTGATGTTGATCTATGCTATTCCTTATAACTTGACTGTTAGTAGTCAAAGGCTGTCTCTTATTTCATGTACTCTAATGACAGGTGGAATTCACTGGTCTACTTAAGCTAATAGCTTTTACGGTTATAAATCTTTGAGAAACTGGGACCAAAAGCTGTGGATTTAATATCCACCCGTCACCCGTGTCTTGACAATCTAAGTCTGTTACCCTCAAATACAGCATTCCCCTGTAGTGCTGTAAGAGACAAAGATGCTATTTTGGGCTAAATATACTCCAGTGTATTCTTTTACTATTATGTGTGCTGAATTCTTACTGACTCGGAACTTTAAACCCCAGATTTTGGTCTTGAAACAATATATGAAATTGAGTCTCTGGTTGATCCCTTGTCACCATTCATTCTTTAGGCTAAATATGTGGAGTTCATTTACAGCAGGCACAAAATCATTTGTATAGAATTACTATGTAATATAATCTTGTAGCTCTATTTATATTACAGCTATTTATAATAATAATTGTATAATATTGCTGCTATTATTACTACTAATGTTATTATTGCCACACAATTCTAGGGCATCGTCCAACACAATAAAAAGACAGAATACTTGTTGTATACTTTACATCTAGCTATAAAACTAAAACTAAAATCACATAACAGCTCAGCTACATAAGGTTCTAGGGCCAAGCTAGATCACCCATAGCTCTTGACTTGTGTAAAACTTGACAGTGTTCTGTCCATAGCCAGTTGTTGCTCCTGAGAAAATCATGGGCAGAATCTATTTGGTGCTGGGAAAGGTAGTCATATAGAGTTCTTACATTCAAGTGTCAGAATGTTTTGCTTGAAATTGGAAGCAATGTTAAGGTGGGTTATTTGTTTCATGAATCACTAGCAGATACAAAGAAATACGACAGTACGTCGTTTTCTGTGTGTGCAACGGTTCAGTCTCCTCCCAGCAACTTGGATCATGCATTTGAGATGTGGAGGATCCTTCTGAGTAGATACCTTAATGGGTATTGCTTTTGGCTTCTTGCCCCTCCAGGCTTACTTAGGTGTGTAAATCTTGAAGAGTAATAAACAACTGGATCTGTTAGTTGACAAGTTAATGTTTAACAGGCTAACAAACCTGTGATTGACTGTGGTTTTGACTGATTGTGAAAGGCCTTTCATAACCTGGAGTTTGTGTGTGTGTATGTGTGTTTTTGCACAAGGAACATTAGTAATAAAATAATACTTTCAAAAAGAATCTTGACTGAGTGAGCAGCTATAGGTAAATTTGCACCGTGGATTTTGGTGAGAAACCCTGACAGCTTCTTGGTCACTAATGATTTTATAAACTGGTTGGAATGTTCCTGTCGATTGATAATTGACTAGTAATCCCATCTATTTGCTGCTTAATAGATGCAAGGTCAGTTAAGAGTAATTTAACAAGGCTGCAAGGAATTGTTTTCTGGGATTTAAAAAAAAATCCCCAAGCAATAATCAAAATGTTAAAGATGTCAGCTTTGGAATGAATCCCGAAAGATCACTGTAAGTAGGGTCGGCTCCACCATAGAGACACACTGCAGATGTTCTAGAAAATGACCCACATGAATCGAAGTTGGTTGAAGTTCACCAAAATCTCACAGGAAATGTTGGCAATTTTTATTTTACTTTATTTTGCAGGAGGCTAAGCTGCCTTCTTGGAAAGGGGTCTGGTGGGTGTCATATATGCTGACTTCTGATGCTGTATGTACGGACACAGATGTGGGAAGAGTGCATGGATCCTGGGCATTAGTCAGAAACAATCTGGATACATACATCAGCCGCTTTCATTCTTTCCTCATTACTTAGGACTTTCCATTCCTTCCATCTCTGCTCGTTCTTATTTCCAAAATTTTAGACGGTAAGCTTCATTGGGCAAAAGACTCAGCAATAAATCAGAAAGTGTCCAGTTCAGTATTTTTTTCCCCTGTACCCTGAACTCTGCTTTGCACACCCTTTTCTGTCTAACTCATCTTAATCATTGGCAATAGGGAACCATCAGATAGGCCTACTTCAGGAACTGACATAAGAAAAACCAGATGATGTGTGCGAACATTCAACAGCATGAGTGCAAACTGTACTTAATAAGTAATTAAATAACAATACCATACTTGGAATAAGGTGTTTTGTTTATTTTTTGGTATTTGCACATTCTTGCTTTTGCTTCTAAGAAAAGACTCCCCTCCCACAGATGCCAACTGCAACATTTAGACTCATTAACTATTAGATTTAATCTATTAAAATACTTTCAGGCAGTAGTTTTAAATGCGCACATTTGGGCATAAATATATTTGAACTTGCAGGAGGTAGAAGTGGCAGTGGGAGCTTCCTGCCAAATAAGATTGCCCTAATATATGTGTGCAAGAGCCAGTTTGGTGTAATGGTTAAAAGGCACTGGGTGTAATGGACAGAAGGAATAACCTTGAGGAACAGGAGGAAGAGTCAGAACCCACACAGCGGTCAGATAAAAGAAATTTGAGTCCGGGGCAGAAACGTACTTTGAGAAAGTGTCTCAGACTTGACCTTCCCTAGTTCTTTTGGAAGTAAAGGCAGGGAGAGGAGAAGTGCCTTCAGACTTGCAAGATTCTTTTACTCTAACCTAATAATAAAAGTAGTATTAGCTTGCGTGTCTTTGGTTTCCAAGTTTGGCCTATCTTGGACACTGGGTTAGAAACTGAGAAAATGTGAGTTCTAGTCCTGCCTTAGGTACAAAGCCAGCTGGGGGACTTTCAGCCAGTCTCTCTTTCTCAGTTCTAGGAAGAAGGCAGTGGCGAACCATTTCTGAAAACATTGCCAAGAAAATTGCAGGGACTTGTCCAAGCAGTAGCCAGGAGTCAAAACTGATTTCAAGGCACTATATGAAGTGTATGTGTGTGTTGTGTAAACTCATGGATTTGAAGGTGTGTAGGCAAATGGAGGAGAAGAATGACTACTGCTAACAGATGCCATTAACCAGTAGAATTTTACCACTGAATTCAACCCAGAGTGACTACATCAATTAAAACCACATTAGCCAACAAGTCTCTTTAACCAACCAGCAGCCTTATTTTTGTTGTTACCCCATGGTAGCTGTGTAGGACACAGACAAATGGGAATAGCCACACTCTAAATCTCTTTAAAAGCGGGGGGGAGGCCTAATTAGACAAGCAAATTTATTTTGTTAACCGTGCAAAGAGTTGTCAGGGCAATTGTTCTGCATTTTCTTTTTTTATCATAACTTTTCAACTCCCCAAACTGGAGTTGCAGAGAGAAAAAGATTTATAACTTTCATTATTTCATGCACATAGAGAGACCAATGCTGACCTCAGCTTCTTAATGTTCAGGTCGTTCATCACGTGCGGCTGCTCTGATATTTATTTAGATTGGGGTTTTACAAGTCAGTCATAAAATATGGAAATGATTGTCAAGTTGATTTTAAGATTTGCGGGAGTTCTGTAATTGCTTTGCATGCCTTCTGAAAGATCCCTTAGACCTAATCCTGAAACTATCTGGTTTTGAGTATCATAGTGCTTAATGGTAGTATTTTTTTTTCTGCGCAAGGAAAACAAAACGAAAATGAAATTTATACCGAGTGATTTTTGTTAAAAATCAGTGCTAAAAGAGCAAAATAGTAATTACTCAATAGAAACAAGAGCAGAAGTCAAAATTCTGTTTTCTCTTTTCTTTTTTCTAATTCTCTTTTTTTCCTGATTTTTCTTTTCATTTTTTATACTGTTACTGTATTGTAAAATTCTCATTTTTTTTTTTTTTTAAATCAGGTCCAACTGCTTTCAGGAGCCTCTAGTCTTTTTTGGTGTACTTTTTGGATAAGTCATAACTTTAATATTAGAATTGAGACCACTTTTGGTAAAATGCAGATACAATTCCTTTCCCATTGCTAGGAATTCAACTTGGTATTCTGAGAACGACATAAAATTTCTGCTGATTTATTTTGCCTGCGCGATAGCCCTGTTTGCAATATGGGCTCCATAAAATACGGAACTACAGTCAGAGACTGCTGTTTTCAGCTGGAACTTCCTGGAATTTTCTCCCATAAATCCACCACCTTCAGAATTGGCTTGCTATAAAAGGAACTCAACAGTTTTTATTTTTGGGTTTTATATTCCTGTTCCCATTTGCCCTCAAATATTATACATTCTAATTATCCCCAGCAACTGAAACTGGATTACTCCTGCTGTTCTATTTTGGAAGCAATGAGAAGTGAGCTGATGCTTGCTTTAAAATAGGCATATGTATATGTGTATTTTGACCCCAGCATATCAACAAGGCAGCTTCCAATGTTTCATGCAGAAGTGAACTATAGGACATAAAGAGTATATTCTTAAGATTTGCTGGTAATATCCATTGGTGGAGTGAAGTGAAGTTCAAACGTAAAGGCTGGATTCACCACAGCTGGAATATGCAGTACAGGTAGTCCTTGACTTACGACCATTCATTTAACTACTATCCAAAGTTACAACAGTGCTGGAAAAAAGTAACTTATGACCGGTCCTCACACTTACAACCGTCACAGCATCGCCATGGTCACATGATCAAAATTTGGGCGCTTGGCAACTGGCGTGTATTTACAACAGTTGCAGTGTCGCGGGTTCATGTAATCACCATTTGCAACCTTCCTAAATGGCTTCCGGCAAGCAAAGTCAATGGAGGAAGCCAGATTTAGTTAACAACTGCAGCAAGGGTCATAAAATCGGGCACAACTCACTTAAAAACTGCATCACTTAGCGATGGAATTTCTAGTCCCGATTGTGGTCGTAAGTTGAGAACTACCTGTAATTTGTTGCAGTTTAGCTTGTACAAACTAACCAACCTTTGTGGCTTACTTAAAAAAGGGATCAGCAAAATTGTAACTCAGCGCAATGTGTACTCCCAGCATAGTTATAAGATGAAGTTAGAAGGTGCAAGTCAACTTAATGTATTGTCGAAGGCTTTCACGGCCGGCATACGATGGCCGGGGGGGGTGGGCTTCGTTGGCTGG